CAGAGAGACAGAGAGTGAGAGAGAGAGTGAGAGAGACAGAAAGTGAGAAATCATCCCCCAGGAGGGATGGCCACGCCAAAATCCCTTCTCCGCCCAGCGTGAGTTGAAGCCACCGGGTCTGGGACTTGAGCTGTGGTCTACTACGTGGGAATCCAGCAACCTTGCCATTACGCTAAGTGCTGGTCCCACAGCTTTGGCATTTCTTACCTGATACATGGAGGATAAGGTCTGAAAGCAGGATAAGGTCTCTCAAGCGTCTATTTTTGTTTTGTCAGTAACAGAGACTGCGGGCAAGCTGTGACTATTACCATTTAGAACTAGTCATCCACATGAAACAGGATCTTTTCCCTCCACATCATAAAACCCAAACAAAATGCAGAAATAAACTGGATGCTGAGACAGTTCGCAACTAACCCATTTGCATTCATCAAAAGTACCCCCTCTCCACATCCTGATTTAAAGCGTTTTGACTTGAACCTAGAGGATTCACGCTAACAACATGGGATTTCATTTTATGTACTTCAAAAGTTAAAAACAAAAACACTGGCTTTTACTATCATATCTTTTAATCTGGGTTAGGAAAGAGAGCAGTGCTCATAATCCAAGTCTTTTGCTAGCAACTACTAAGCTCCTCTTCCAAGATCTCTGGCTTGGCTAACTCAAAGAGAACCAACTTAAAATAGCTATTTACAGGACCAGCAGATTGTGTAATGGCTTTGTTACTGGACTTCCATTTAGTCAACTATGGTTCAAGTCCTTAAATTCACGCCGGGCGCATGTGTGTACGTACCCAAGATCCTGAGAGAAAGGAGAAGGGATTGCAGCGTGGCCATCCCCCCCCAGGGGAATAATTTCTCGCTGTCTCTCTGTCTCTGTCTTCCTGGTGAGTGCACGTGCCCTATAGCAAAACCTCTCCAAAAAATAAAATAAAAATAGCTATTTATATAAGGCTGACTTCAGGAAGTCCAAAAGCAGAAGGTGGGGAAGGGGTCAGGAAAGATTATTTTTTAAGTTTTGTTGTGAATTCTGGGTAATCGTAATGAGTGACCTCCTTGAGTCTAAATTTCCTCAATGAAAAAGGAGGAAGTCAGATAAATGAATGGTTTTCAGACTTTTTATTTCAAGCACCTTTCTTCATATTAGACCACCCTTGGACATCTAAGAAAGCTTTGAAAGGGCCTCAGAGCCCCCTTCCATCCTCTCCCTCAATGGCCCATCAGACAATATAAAAACAGATGCAGGTGACCTACAGTCACTTGTAAGCACCGGGCTTTCATAGGCCCTGCCTCTGGAAGACAAATGCTGACTCTACCACCCCTCATGCTGAGCCCCTCTCTCCTGGCCTAGGGCACAGAGCCGGCTCATCCCTCACACCTACACCACTGCATCACAGCATTGACTGGAGAACCATGGTGGCAACCTAGACGCAGGGGCTGAACAACTGTGTGGGTAAAAGGACATATTTATTCAGTTTAAATTGTCACGAAGTCTAAGCACAATGCTGCTGTTATAACAGGTAACCACTACCGTCAGCAGCTATACACAGGATATTTGTTAAATGGCATCTGAGCTTCATAGGTTATGTTAATTAAAAAAAACTCATAAACCAGTTGAGAGCAGTTAAAGGCCAATTTAAAATGTTAGTATAAAACAGATTTCACTAAAAATATGATTCTGATGCAACTGCTATAGCACTGTGAAAAAAATTGACTAAAACCTCGGCTATAACTGAAAAGACCTTAAATGGTAAATAAAACACAATAGCAGCAATTAAAAACTTTGTAATTCCCATTTCAGAAGATGTCCCTGTTCCCGCCTATAACCTTCACGCCTCTGAACTGCCTCATCTAGAAAAGGCCGGTTGAATGAACATGTCGCAGAATTCTATACAAACAGGAGAAAGTCTTCAGTGTCATATCCCAGGGACAATGAGACTCATGTTTAAGTGTCAGAGGTTTGGAAGGGTTACCTACTCCTGAGAAGCTTCTCACACATTCTCGTCCTGCCCTTGACAAATCTTGTCAATAACCTCAACTAAGAACAAGCACCTTGAAAAATGTGACTGGAAATCAATCAGTTAGGACTTCAGCCATGTTACCCCAAACTCCAAACAGTTATTCTCCTCTACAGCTCTGGGTCCTTAGCTCTGCAAGGAGTCCTATCCTTAGCTAATGCAATTGGGGGTAGCTAGAGCTCTGAGGACAGGTCACTTGAACAGGCACTAGCTAAATTTAATTCTGCAAGAACACCTTCAAATCAACCTTCATTCTTAAAACATCAATAGAGGTCAGGGTTAGGGTTGACTTCAATAGGCATGGGAACTCCTGGCCTCTTGAACAAGCAGTCAAATGTATCTTCTATCTCAAGGACAAAAGCTTGTGAACTCATTCTAGGATGTACTCTCCATTCCCAATTTTTCTTCAAAGGTTTTTGCCATAGGGCATGTGGACTTGCTGGAGACAGAGAGGGAAAGGGAGAAATCACACCCTAGAGGGGATAGTCACACCACAATCCCTTCTTCTCTTGGAGTTTGGGGCACTCACACATGCCTGCTCTGAATATTTAGCCATTGGGTCCAAGACTCAAATCGTGGTTGGCCATATGGAAATCCAGCACCTTAACCACCATACCACGCAATGTCCCCTGACCCTTCCCAGTTTTATTTTAACAGATGATAATCAATTTATTACAATAATTGACTTAGGCATCTGCAATGGTGATTTCAACAACTCCTGATTTAATACTGATGGAAGTAAGCTGTTTAACAATCTCAGAACTGTGCAAATCAATTAGTTGGATTTGCACAGTTCTTGTGGATTCTCATCTGGAACCAATCCCAAGTCTTAGAACCTTCACCACAAGGTATTTTTCTTATAGTGATTCTCAGGGTCTTAGCAGACATCCGAACTGGTCCTTCCACTTTGAGATTCTTTTCCTTTGCACATCTGATTAAGTCAGCCAGTACACGCTTTTTCCAGGGACTTCACATTGTGGCTAAAGTAACTACTTTGGTGAATGGCCACCTCTGGTTCCACAGGTGTTTTCCAGTATCTTTAAGAGCCACAGCACCAGCGTGGCTTCCTGTTCCTCGGTGACAGCGGACAGTGGTTAGTCAGAAGCAGGAGCAGGCTAACTGGAGCTCCGCAGCACCTGTACCCACATCTTCCCCAAAAAGCCCAAATTTGTTTTTTTTTGTTTTTTTTTTTTTTTTTTCCCAAAAAATTTGGTTTTTGATAGTTGGAGATTGCTTAACCCATCTTCTGGCACTGTTCTGTTCACTTTCCTTTTAGATCTGCCACAGTACCTTTATAATTCTTAGAATATTCTTTTCCAACATGAAAGTAATAGTGAGCTTACTAGCAAAATTACTGGAGAAAAAAATTTCCAAAGATTCTCAATAGAATCAGCTCAGTGGATTAAGGCTGCCATTTCTTTTTCTTCTTTCTTTTTTAAAGATTGATATAAGGAAGCACAAGTATAGAAAGAAGAGAGATTGAGTGCCAGGAAAGCTCAAAGATAAAGAGGACACTGCGGCAGCTCAAGGTCACTATCAGTATTCCCCTGCTTCAGCCCAAATCCATGGGACAGCCTGAAGCAAACTGGGCCTGCCCAGAGTATGTCTTTCCTCGGTGGACAGCTGTCTTCACAGGGCTGCAGGTGAGACATTACGCGGTTCTTGGGAAGGTTGGTTTTGAGTGGTGCCAGGCTCTGGGTAACCAGTTCCTTGCCTTTGATCCACACAGTGTAGGTCTGACCAGAATCCAGCTCCCTATCTTCCTACCCTCAGCAGTACATCAGTGAGTCCCCAACAGCCTTGCCAGGCTATGGTAGTACTTTACTTTTAAAAAGAGGGTCTCCTTGTGTCACAATTCTCCCACCTCAGCCTCCGAGCTGGGACCACAGGTATGTGCTGTCACTCAGCTTTTTAAACAGGGTCTCACTATGTTGCCCAGGCCAGCCTTGAGCTTGTGACCTCTTGCCTCAGCCTCTCAAGTAGCTGGGATCATACCAGATTTCTCATGTGGCTCCAGCCTGTGCTAGGAGCAGCGAGTCCTGGCAGCACTTGCCACCACAGCTTGGCTGATGTTGGCTGGTGTGTTTTGACTTGCTGAGGGCTAATCAGTAGTGCTCAGAAACAGACATGGCTGTATAAAGACACATGTGGGCTAAGACGGCACCTCACTTTTCACATTTTGTTCCGAATATACGTCTAGGTTCCCGGGCAGACTGCTGGTGACTGAGGTGGCATCCCCTCTCCGCAAAGAACTGGTTTATTCTCAAATACCTGCTGGATGGTACTCATAGCTTTCATGCTAGTACCAACTGAGCTGTTTTTAAGTGTTTGTGTGCTTTAGACAGAGGGTACATCCAGAAAGTGACTCTGGAGAGCCTGTCCTAGAATTAAGGCCCAAGGCAGGTCACTCCTCAGATCCCAGCCTACTCACCACAGATGTTGAGCTGGCAACTCCAGAGCCAGGCACCACTCAACACCATCCTTCCCAAGAGAACTGTGTAATATGTCTCACCCAGACCCATGACTAGGAAAGGAAGCCCAACAGTGAAGAGGGAAAGAAAAACCACCTCTGAACAGCAAGAACGGGTCCAGAAGTGACTGGACCACACGCCTTGCCAGTGTGAGAGCACAAATCGAAGATTCAAGGAGCAGAGGTTCCTCCCTATGTGTTGGGGGTGGGGGGTGAGAAGGCCTCTAGTTGGGCCTGTTATCCAGTCACATCCAGTTTCATTTCCACCCCCAGGTCCTCTCTGCCCACTGTACTGTATCATCCAAGAATAGGCAGAAGGGTTTTCTAACCCCCAACCTCTTTCTATTCTATGTCCTGCATGCCAGGCTCTGCCTCTAATTGCCCCTGCAGGTGCAGCTGATGCTCCTAGTGTGTGCAGGAGTAGGGCAGAGTTATGAGGCGAGAGCTCGGGCTGCCCTGACTTGAAAGCAGCAACAAAAAAAGGGGGCCTAGAGGCCAGAGGTAGTTTTTAATTACCAGCGATGCACAAGTCTTCAGATAAGGAAGAGCCTCCGGTTGTGAAGATGCCTGATTGCTTTGCTCTTTTTCAGCCTGAGAGATCTCAGGGGCAAAATCATTTAAAGAAATGTTTTTCAGTGCTTGGGCATCACAGTGAGGGCTCCTTGCCACGGTCTAGAGTCAAAAAGAAATCTGTAGTTTCCTTCGCCGGCAGCACCTCAAACCACTTCTCCTGTGTACAAGGGAAAAGGGATGAAAGGGGGATAAACCACAGGGCAAAGAATTAGAACGTGTTAGCAAATGCTACCATGCGGAACACTCAACTTTATTCGCTTTATTTATATATTTAACAATTCTAAAAGTATTTACTTCTTGCTTTGACAAAAAATGAAAAATATAGGAGCGTTGACCAACTCCTCTTTAGGAGAAAAGGGTTATATATACAGCTACGGAGAGTTACGGTTCCTCCTTTACATACAAAGAAAATATTAATAAAAAAGTGCTTCGTTGATCAAAAAAAGAAATGTTTTTCAGTGCTTGGGCATCACAGTGAGGGCTCCTTGCCACGGTCTAGAGTCAAAAAGAAATCTGTAGTTTCCTTCGCCGGCAGCACCTCAAACCACTTCTCCTGTGTACAAGGGAAAAGGGATGAAAGGGGGATAAACCACAGGGCAAAGAATTAGAACGTGTTAGCAAATGCTACCATGCGGAACACTCAACTTTATTCGCTTTATTTATATATTTAACAATTCTAAAAGTATTTACTTCTTGCTTTGACAAAAAATGAAAAATATAGGAGCGTTGACCAACTCCTCTTTAGGAGAAAAGGGTTATATATACAGCTACGGAGAGTTACGGTTCCTCCTTTACATACAAAGAAAATATTAATAAAAAAGTGCTTCGTTGATCAAAAAAGGGCTAAGAGCTGCAAGCATTTATTCACACTGTACACCAGACCCAAGAAACCCGTATCATATCCTCTTGGCACCTGTCACTAGGAACTGCACAATCTTTGATTAGACTGACTTTGCCCTACCTGCATGGCCAGACCACACAGAGTGTGGACAGAACTACACCCTGTTTCACCAACTCACACTCTGAGTAGCTGCTGCCGTTGCTGAAGTCAGAGATGTGCTCAGACACTCTGGGCTGTGCCTGGGCCAGCAGCCCCAGGGAAGGCTGTGCCTCAGCCACACACAGCCACACACAGGACCCACCTGAGACACAACTTGCCCTTGGCCAGGGAACTGATTCCAAAGGAGAAGGGGAGTACAGGGAGGGTCCGAACCAAAGCATAGCCTGACCTATCTCCACCCCAACATGCCCTGTCACCAGTTAGCAGCTTTCAGCAGAGCCAAGCATGGGCCTTCACTGAGAGGGAGGGCAGGCACAAGACACAGACGCCAAGATTACAAAGCACAAACTCCGCTCTACTCGTCCCCACGCCCACCTCCACCACAAATATTCTCGATTTAAGGCTCTTTTTGGACCACATCAAAGCTCACTAAGGAAAGGAGTCCCAGACATCTTCCAGTCCTGTCACTTCTCTAAGGAACCTTGCAGAGTCCCCAGGTAGCCTGTCATTGCTGGCCAGTAGCCAGACACATGCCCGCCCAGGCAGCCAGAAGCAGGGCTGGCAACTGCTGGGCTCTTCTGGCTGCTACCGAGGGGAAGGGGGAAGAAGGATGATTGTATGGGGACCGGCTTCCTTTCCCAGAGGCGTGTAACTATAAAGGCCGATTCTACCCCTTAAGGGGAGATCCATGATTTGTTTGGTTTGGGAATGGGGAATTTCTGGAACCCTGAGTCTGGTTTCCCTGTGCTGGCAGAGGAAAAGAGATTGTTTGAGGGACCAGGTCCCAGGGACGGGGCTCCCAGGTATGCCCAGGCTCAGGGCAGGCTTTGGCCTTGGTCAAGAGGCAAGAGACTGCATCTTGGCGAGTCTGCACTCTTCTGCCTGAGGGTGAGAAGTGCTACACAGACCGGCCCAGGAGGCAGCCCCCTGATACTGAAGGGAGCCCCTGACACTAAGAGTCAAATGTGAAACAGAATCCTGTGGGGGATGATGCTTCAGCCCCTCTCACCTGCCCCCAAGGAGGCCCAAGAGGTTCCATTCACTGTGCACCTCCCCCTGGGAGGGTGAGGACACCCGTGACAGTGCTCTTGGGGAAGGTACTTCCAGCCACCCCAGCAGCGAAGGTTTCCTGCCCAGCTCTGATGTGCCGGTAGCATGAAGAATTGTCATGATTGTTAGCACTGGCTTCCTTCCCCACCCACTGTCTCAGGCCTCCACTCCTGGCTCCGACAGGCCTCCTCCCATCTGGGGAACCAAGCCACCCTTCAGTGTTGCCTACAGCAGGGGGCTCAGCAGTTACAAGGGGCCTGGTGACCTCTAGTCTTCCATTTAAAAAAAGAAAATTAAGACAACCAGGGGACTTTTCCTTTTTTGAAGGCAGAGGGAAGATAGAAAAGGGGAAGTGGAGAATAGGAAAGAAAAATCAATGTACAATCCAGTGGTACATCCCCAATTTCTGTCACTCTGCACAGGTGGTTCCATGCCCCCATTCCAAAGTGCACGGGCCTCTCAGTCTGCCCAGGCTTCGTGGGCCTGTCAGAGGAACAGCAGCTTGGCCTCTGCCCACCCCAGGTCACTGAGCTTCAGTTTGAAGTGGCAGCAATGGGCTTATCCAGTTCAAGGTCAATGCTTGAGCTCGTGGGATGTAGACTGCTATAGCAAGACTTGCACACTCGACTGGGTTCAAAGAGCTGCTGGCTGGGAACTGGAACCTTCTGGTTACAACAACTGGAGCAGAATACATTCCCACAATTCCTTAAGAGAAAAAGAAACAAAACAATGTTAGTTTTGCCTAGCAGGTATGAGGTGGGGAAACCAACTTGAGAAGACAGACTGGGCTGTGTATAATTTGGGAGTGCTGGAGATGCCTCCGAGATCAAACACTTCCATTTCTCTGGCCCAGAAACAAGCTGACCAGAGGTGTCCCTACCAAGCAGAGTCACATGCCACTTTCACTCCAAGGCCAGAGACGTGTGGCTGCCTTGAACTATGGCTCAAGGTTATCAGGTGCACCAGGTGCTGCTCAAGAGATCTATGTGAACAAACGGGCCCAGGGCAGAAGCAGATGCTAGCTGAATGGGAAAGTCCTGACACAAGACACCCCAGTGGCCATTCCCACCTGGGCTATGGTCTCAGGGTAGCGTTGATCTCCTAGAGGTCAGAGTCCAATGGAGCTGCCTGCAGGCCCTTCAGATGAAAGAAACAACTACCCAGCCCAGCTGGGAGGGAAGAGCTTTGCCCAAGAGCCATTTCCCCAGAAGCTTGGCGGCATCAACATGGTTGCAAACTGCTGCCATCCAGGCCTGTTCTGTTGGCAGCATGCAAAGCTAGGAGACAAGCAGCCCATGACACATGCTCAGGGAGTGAGAGGAGAGGCGGAAGGACAAAAGAGCACAGGTAAACACGCATGCACACACCCCCAATTAGGTAAGTGTCGGTCAGTCATGGCTCACTCCCCTGTGCATGTGTCTCTAAGGGTAGGCCTCCCTCCACTACTACACTGAAAACCCTGCTCTGAGGCATCTGTTCAGTACAGGCCTGCACACCCAGACCAATGCCCGTCACCACTCACACGGAAGGGAACTGGCAGAGGATGAGTTACAACCCTACTTTTACCGGGTCTCTTAAAGTGCAAGTCAATCTGAAGAATAGGAAACTCCGAGGAGCCTGGAACAGCCCACCGAAGACTAAGAAGGCAACTAATGGGAAAGCCTCCTTCATAGCCAGAGTCATTCACTAAGTCAATCACACTTCTCAAAATGCAAACCTACTACTGGATTAAGGAGCCTTGGGTATGGAGGAGAGAATACTGAAGGCCGTCTAAGGACAGAACATCACTAAAGGAAAAGGTGGGATGAAGGCAATGGAGGGATGGAGAACTAAAACAACACAGTTTCATCTTCTAAAACATAGTAAGTACTTTGTAATTTTGTTTCTAAAAAGCATGAGTCAGGAAGAACCTGTGGTTACACAGAACCACTCTGACATGTCTTTAATTTCTTTAATATATCTGCTGGAGTTGTTTAAAAGCCTGTTATGAATTTGAAAAGTTAAGTTTTTCTGACATCTTTCAGAGAACCCTGAAAGACCCTAAGTGGAGTCTTCCATGCTAAAACAATTCTCTGGGAAGTCTACCTCTGCTCTGTCCTTTGTTTTTTGTTTTGTTTTTAGAGATATTTTTGCTATAGGGCGTGTATTTTTTAAAAATAATTATTTTATTTAAATTTATTTATTCATTTGTTTATTTCAATTTGGTCAGAGAGGGACAGAGTGAGAGAGAAAGCCACCAGGTCCAGGACGCAAACCATGGTCGACCATGTGGGAATCCAGTGCCTTTAAGCACCATGCCACCTGCTGGCCCCCCATTTTGTATTTTTTTTTTTTTAAGAGAAAATCCTGATCGCTTTAAAACACACACACACACACACACACACACACACACACACACACACAGAGGAACAGTAATGCTGTCTCACTTGGAAGTAACCAGTATCATTCTGCATCTCAATGAATGACCGACCCAAAAGAAATAGCTTTGGAAACCCAATGGCTCCTCCATGAGACCAGCCCCTGCTGAAGAACCACCTTCTTGCCAAAAGAAAGATGGCCCAGCTGACCTATGATGTCAAGAGGGGAGCACATGGCACAGCCTGCTCACCCTCAATAGTCTCCTCCGTTGGCTGCTTTGGGATCTCCCAGGGCCCCCCTGCCTGCCTGAGCTCCCCAATGAGTGCACAAAGGAGGAATGACAGAGTTAGTGTGGAGAGGTTACTGCAGATGTGTAGCCATCACAGACAGGTTGTTGCAAATGCTCACCACGTTTGATCAACACGGTCAGTTTCCCTGCAAGGAGGGGAGAAAGAGCTCAGAGGAGAAGCCAACCACAGACATTTGAGATTGGGGTGCAGGGTAGGGAGACAGATGGTGCTAGAAGCATCGTTACTGGATGTTGCGGTTGTCCCATTTTCAACCCAGGCTCACTTACAGGGATGAGCCAACATACGACTCAGATAAACTTCCTATCCAAAGAACAACGAACACCTGACAGACACTAGCTGGGGCAAAGCCTCCCTAGTCACTCACTAAACCCAACCCAGAGGAGAAAGAAGGGAGGCCTTATGGAGTGGAAGACTGCCTTCATCTGGATCTACGGACTATCCCCGTCTATGGCTGCTCACCAGTGGCACAAGGAAAAACAACTCTGGGGTCAGGGAATAGAGAAGGAGTAGGAAACGAAGTTCCTTGCCACAGCAAGAACACTTTGCTCAAAGCAGCCAGACTGAATGGGAAGAAATTACATGCTGGGAACAAGAAATGGTGGTTTATGTGGTGGCTGTTGCTCTACCAGTCTGGGAAACAAAACAAAAAGGATATCATTTGCACATTTCAACATTTAATAGTGATCACTCTGAATTGGAACAAAGACACCAAATGCAGTTCTGCAAACATGAACTTTAGAGGCACAGATCAGACTACAGGGTCTGTCTCGGACAGAACGCTGCTGGTCAGATGCCCACAGCCCTCCACCCTGTAGGTTCCATGGGCCAAACCTCAGCCTCCACACCCAAGCCCACCCCACCACACCTCCCAATGGCACCTGCAGTGGTGCTTCCTGCTGGCAAGCCAGAAGGCACTGTCACACGCATAGCAGTGGGCAGCCAAGTGGTCGGGGAGCCAACGAGTCATCTGCAAAACAGATGGGGCCAGGTTAATGATAGGAGAAGGGTCATCAGCTGGAGCCAGCAGAGCCATGCTGGGGGCAGCAAGAGTCACAAGGACCACAATGGCTACAATGGCTCCAGTGGCACCAGCGCAGCAGGTCTGATGTCAACAGTACAAGAAAGGCGTCCAAATCATTTCTCTGGAGGGGACTCCAATCTCCCCTGAGATAAAGTGGCAGGCAGCAGTACTCTGGGTCGCCATGAGAGCTGACAAGGCTCCAGTTCAAGAGGCAATGAAGAAAGAGGGCCAGCTTGCCGAGTCTCCCTGGCTTAGAAACTCTAGGCTTCACGTGGATTCACAAGAGCTGAGGTGCCAGAGGCTCAAAGTTCTATGTGCTATGAGGCTCCTCCTTGACCAGGGGTACCAGGTAGGGCTGGGGGTAGAGAAGAACTGCAAAACAGTTGCATGGATGGCACTCAGAGCAGGGGCTGAGCCTGTACCTCTGCGTCCTGTTTATCCACCTGCTCCCAGCTGGCTTCAGAGAAAATCTCTGTGCTGCAGCGAGACAAACAGTTCTGATCCAGATTGCTTTCCGAGTCGGGGATTGAAGTCTGTTGGCAAACAAACACAGCTGAACAAAATGAACCTGGTCTCCCAAAAGAAGAAAGGGCTTGATAAGGCAGGGCCCACTGGGGATTAACAGAGAGCCTGAGTGCTAGGGCTGTGGAAGCTGTGGTCACATTAGTCATCAAGAACTGGGTTGAGCAGGTGCAGCGCTGGGGTTGGCTCAGCTGGAAAAGGGATACACAGGTTATGTGCAGTGACTGTGAAGGGGAAAGACAGGCCCTAAGGTTCCAGGAAGTGAGTGGGGAGAAGTGACCAGGATGGAGCAGGCAGGAACTCCAAGTGTCACCTGCTCCAGTTGGCCTGCTAACCCAACCCTGCCACTTAGGTGAAATGGAGCACTCTAGGCATGTCCTCCTTTCTTGAGGGACTCTTCAGAAACATGAGAAACCATCATTAGTATGAAGGAAAGCCAAGTCATTTTGAATGGAAAGTCATTGGACGTGCTTGCCTTTAATGTACGCTGACCCCTGCAGAGCCAGGATCACACTTGCATTTGAGTGCACAGCCAGACCCGCCCAGAAAAAAGTACTTGAGAACCTCCCTTTTGTACCCTCATTTCTAGCCACTAAGTCCCATCAATGCTAACTCAATAGTGCTAGAAACCAGTCTTCTCTCTCCATTTCTACTGCCAGCACCTGCCACTGGGTGGGTACACTCTTTGTTAAGGCCTACACGTTTTAAGTTACAGCCCATATCTGGAAGGGCTAACCATTCACTAGCTACTGAGGTAGCACAAGCACTGCAACTTCACAGGAGTACTGTATGGCATTGCCCTGACAAATGTCATCCTACCCAGGAATTCAAGCCCTTCTAAAGAAAGATATACGACCCTCTCTCTGAAGAGATCTGATTGACCATGTAGTACATTCTAACTCTCTTCCTTTCTCTTACTGCCTATACAAAATATCCATGGAAAGAAAGTAAAGCAGAAAAGAAGAGAGACTGCCGTGTAAGTGGTTGAGGCTGATCTTCAGCCTCTTGTAACTGGGCTACTTTGGACCTTCCAACCATTTATAAAGATCTGTCCAATCACCATGTACCAGGTCTGAAGGGCACCCAGCCTTGATAGGTCTTTTGGTCTCAGGCAGCTTTGGAGGAACCATGGCCCACTCACCACTTCATCCCCAAAGTCCCCATTGAAGCGTAGGGAGCTGGTCAAGTACTGGCTCTCTAGGCGACTCTTCAGCTCCTGGACTTGTTTTTTCAAGGTCTCCACTTCCTGCAGGTGTCCTGACTCAATCTGACGCAGGCGCTGTTGGATCGTGTCTGTGTACACAGGCATGCCATCATCGTCCAGGTGGCTGCGGGAAGGCTGGTCAGGGCTACCAGTTACAGAGGGTCTCCCCAAGTGGCTGTGCAGCCACTTGTGCAAGTTCCTCGAGTGTAAGTGGGCAGAGCTGCAACTTGTAGCAGACAGCTGGCGGCTCAGTGAGTCCTTGCTCCTACCGGCTTCCCCATTGGTGCAGTGCCCGTTGGGTGTGGGGTACTTCTGGAGGGTGCTAAGCCCTGGGGGCTGCTCTGAGGCCTTGTTTTCAGTCTCTGGGGTACCGTTGCACACAAGCCCCTCTTTACATTCGGCTAAAGGCAAGGCACAAGGGAAACGTGTCAGGCTGAGAGTGCTGCCAGGGGAAGTCCTGTGTACCACAGACACCACTTGGGGCCTCTCAACTGGGCTCCTCTCCAAAGGCCTGGGCTCCATGGCTTGGGTAAGCATGTCTTTGCCACTGAACCTGTCACTGTTAACTGGACAAGGTCTGTGATGGCCTGGGTGCCCACTTTCTGACTTCACCTTATCATCCATTAACATGTCCATGGAACTGTCCACATTTGGTCCTCTGGTCTCAAGTGGGACTTGGGAAGGTAGCAGAGAACTTGATTGTGAGGTACCATAGCCAACATTTGCATCCACAGGGGCTGGAAGAAGTGCTTCCTCTCTATCGTCTACAGCATCTCCTATTCGAGGCTCCTCCACAGGGGCCTCCTGGGCATCCTCTCCACTGGGGGAGGCCTGCTCAGGAATATCCTGTGAGAACAGAGACAGGTTCACGCCTGGATGATTCTGCAGAGTAGGATCACCCAGTTCTGGTTCTTGGTAAAGGACAAGGGCTGAGCCCTCGGGTGTCTTCCTCTTGCTCTCCTTTTCTACGACTGTCTCCTCTTTGATCTCTTGCATCTCAAGGCTCCCCCTGTGGGCAGGCTCCTCCACCCCACTCTCCTCTTTGGTGGCCTCTTGCAAAATGTTCTCCATCTGCCCCTCAGCCACTCCAGCGGCAACAGACAGCTCGGCGCCTGCCGGTACTTTGGTGGGCTTCCCTGGGTTGTCTGCAGCAAGCTCCTCTCCAGGGCTAGCCAGGCTGCTCAGTTCTAGTGAGCGCCGATGCTCCTGCCATTTCTCATTCAGGCTGGGGTCGCTACTGCGCCGGCTGGCCAGAGGCACTGTGTTGTCGCAGGCTGTGGTCAGATTGTCAAATGATCTAGTCTTTGGTAGCCTACAAGAAGGGAGTTTGGGAGAAATGAGAATCTCTAAGGTGATTCAGAGGAAAGTAGGAGACAATAGGTTTTAACAAGCAGTTGTTTCATAATTGAGTCCATTATAGCTATTCAAGGAGCTGTGGCCTTTCTCAAGTGAGGAACAGACTGCTGGAGCGTAAAACTCCCGCCTGAGTCCTCCTCCTGGCCTACAGACTTCCCCTCACACCGCCCCCACCCCATACATACACATAAGCTGACGACAAATGCTATTTTAAAAACACATTCTTCCTGATGTTACTGGTTCTCAGTTGGTGGCAAAATGGCAATGGGATTTCCTGATACCACAATATTTAAAACTAATTTGTTATCAATCAGTCTGATTTAATCAAACTAACACACAAGTGGCAAAGCCAAATTTTCAATCATTTGACAGCATCTCCCTTTCAAGCTGTGGAAGACAATTCATAGCCATGAAGTAGTGGGTGAAACACAAACCAGGGCATCACAAAGAGCCCGGAGGATTTGTTCATTTGTTCCACTGAGAAACTGTCAGCCTATGTAACAATAGGGTTTAATTCGCTCCCGGAAATAAGGTTCTTCTAGCCTCTTAGCCCAGTAATCTTTACACCCTCCCTGAGAAAATGTCAGACATTTAAGAAAGATGCAGAGTCAGACAATGTCATGATGTCTGACTATCCCTGGCATGTTCCCACAGAGGAAGACACCTGCCCAGAACCTGAGGCTCAAAGCATCACCCTGGGCTCACCGGCTCAGAGGGGAGTCATCGGGGCTGGTGCCTGGGGCTGGGTATGGCGCACAGCTGTCGTCCACTGGGGTAGACGGAGATGGGCAGGGCAGGTAGACTGCACTCCACAGCATCAGGTTACGTACATGGCACACAGGGTACAGCACCTGAGGAGAGCGGGAGGATGCAGGTTTAAATGTGTCCCGAACACGTTTTTTTAAAGAAATGTCTGGAAATGAGGATGAAGAGCTGAAACAAGGTTGGCAAGATGTCCACAGAGGAAGCATCAGTGGATACAGACCTCTCTCCTTGGAGGACCAATACAAGAGAGTTTGTTTGGCAACATTCTTTAACCCAAGAGCCTCTTAGGGGCATGGGAATCTAAAGGTTTTTTAAAAGATCCACTTCTCATTAATTATTTCTCAGGTCACCTTTATTGAATGACTGACTTTCATCAGCTTGATTTGTTGCTTTTATGGCAGAAGAAAGTGAGTCACTCTGTTAGATGGTGACTGTCTGTTTTCCTGGTACAAAAACTTGGCTTCAGTAGATGCTGTCAAATCTGTTTTATTGGATCATTTAAATTAATCATGTGAAAAAGAGGAAATTTTCTTTCTATTTTGTTACTTCCCCAGCAGGCACAGTGAAAGAAAAGAGAGGCAGTTAGCTTAAATCTTTTCTTTGACTATTTGAATGTAATGAGAAGCATATTAATAGTCCAGCAAAGCAATATAACCTCTGATTAGCCTCCTCTTAGCTTCTTTAGAGTTTAAGATGCATTCTGACAATGGGAACATTACCACATGTTGACACAGATGTATGTGCCTCCTTTTCTCTGCTTACCAGAAGGAATTCTTTTGGGGGAATAAAGTCTTAAAGAGCCTGCCAGCTCTCTATGTGAGCAAGGAATCACACAAACACACATGCCACTGTCAGACACAGCTTTCTGCACTGAGACATAGCTGCAGCAGAAAGCACTGTCTGCTAACACTGGAAGGGTGCTGTGGGTCTGGTGGCAGCTCCTTCTGAGTTCTCAGGGGCATCCAGGAAACGATGTAAATGCCTCCACCCATGAGACAGAACATGCTAGGAGTAAGGGAAGCTCTGGAGATGCCAGAAAGGATTCTTGTCTAGGTGACAGAGTAGAGATGTGTATTAAATCAAAGCACCTTGAGCCAATAGTGCTCAGAAGCAAGCCAGAGTATTACCCAGAAGCAGACTCTTTTCAAGACAGAATGGTAGGGGGTAAATGGGAGCTGCCTATCCAGAGATGCAGAAATGCCTGACGAAAGTAGTTACCACTTAAAGGCTCCCATATATCCCCTATCCCAAAATTCCTTGTGCTGATCACAGAGGAAAGGCTGAAGGATACATACGGCTTCTGACTGAGAGGAATACAGTAGGTTTTTGAAAGACTTGTTGCCTGCCCGAAGAAGTGACCACACAGAACATGTCCGCTCCTGAGTGTGCTTTTCCCCTCTCTCCTTGGCATTGTTGCACAGGAATGTTCCAAAGAGGCAGGAGTAGGTATGCTGCACCAGTTTCACCTATGGGAATCCAAGAGGCAAAAAATCAAGCAATAGTGCACATATTCTCTGGGAAAAGTTCTACCTAGCCAAGCTGAGCTATCCTGAAGCCCCTGAGAACACTTTCAGCTCACTCTGTCAGGATAGGGGAGATTAGAAAGCCACACAATGGCCTCCTCCTCACACCACCAATTTCATGGCTCCACCACCCACCACCACTCCTGAGTCAAAGACAGACTGTTAATGCCCCACTCCACTTTGCCTCCCTGGGAAATAGTCTCTGAGCTTTTGCATTAATGAACACTCTCATAAACAATAAAGCATATAAACTGAGTATAGGAGCAGCACACTCAAGTCTGAGTTGAGAGCACACCAAGTCGAGAAAACTACTCATTCCTTCAACAACTCTATGGAGCATTTCACATGGCCACTACATGACTACAGGTACTGGATGTGCAGTCAGCTCGCCTCCTACCTGAGCTTGTTCAGGCTGTGGGGGAAGGTGACCAGTGCTAGGGAGAACAATTAAGTCAGAGTGAAGAGGGACAGAGTGGGCACAGGGCAATGTGCAGAGGCCTCACTGGCTAGGACCAGATGGCAGTGAGTGTAGGTATGTGCACGTCTAGGGCAATACTCCAGTGGCTCTGAGGGGAGTGCTTATTAGTAATTTCTGAGGAACTGCAAGGGGCCACTGTGACTAAAAGAGATTGCAGAAGAGGGAGGGAGAGAATGGCAGGAAATGAGCCTAGAGGGGCAACCTCTGGGAGGTCATTTCAAGGACTTTGGCTTTTACTCTGTGTGAAATGTAAAGTCACAGGAGGTTTTGTTTAGTCTTGCTTTTTAAAAGTTTATTACTTTCATATGAGAGAGAAAACCACATACACTGCCTCAAAAGAGTCTCATGCCATGATCCTTTCCTACTCCCAGCCCGTTGTGTACAGCTCAACCCAAGGAAAAGAACCCTAATCTACTATATGGCTTCCAGCACTGCAAAGAGTTGCACTGCTGTTATGTAGTTAGCCCACAGTGGATATTTTAAGCAGAGAAAGGACATTATCTGTCTGTTTTAGAAGGATTCCTTTGTGCTGACTTGACTCTCTGGAATTGGGGCAGGGGATGACAGTGGCTTGGCCCATTGTGGCACCAGTAGAGGTTACAATAAGTACGGAGATTTTAGATATATATTGAAAGCAGATCTGCAGAATCTTGAGACTGAATGTAGCATCTGAAAGAAGAGAGTTGAGGATGACATAAAGGGTTTTGTCCTCAATGAAAGATGGAGATGCCATATGGTGAGATAGATAACTTCTGGAAGATTAGGTTGTGAGATGGGAAAATGTAGTGAAATGTAAGAATTAATGTAAGAATTAAGTTTTAGAAGTATTAAGTTTGAAATACCAGGTGGAGGTACTGACTATTCACCCTTGGTTATGTGAGTCCAGAATTAAGTGGACAGGTCTGAGCTGAAGGTACACAAGTGCAGTAGGACTCATCACCATACAGATGGCAATCAAAGCCATGAGACTGGATGACTTTCTTAGACAGGGAGTGCAGATGGCCAAGCAGCCTAGAAGCTGAGACCTGGGATATTTCAACTAGAACTGGAGAGATCAGGAGAAATTAGCAAGAGAGACAGAGGATTGGCCAGTGAGGTAACAGAACTAAGAGTGAGTTCAAGAAGTCAACTGACGAAAGTGTTTCAAGAAAGGAGTGGTTGGGACCACTTGGTAGCACAGCAATGGCATGACTAGACCCACAGTAAAATGTCCCAGGGCCTCTCTATGAGCACCAGGTGCATGCACGAATGACTGTGACCCAGGCTGACTGAGGGTGGGGGTGGACCATGGCATGAAAATCTGTTGGAGGTGCCTCTCTGTCTCTTATGGAAAAAATAAATAACTTTAGGGAAAAAAGAGTGGTTAAAATGTGCCAAATGCTAAAGAGATGCAGACAGAACTGGTCACCTTAACAAGAGAAGCTTCAATAAAGTGGTGGGGTGAATGCCTGATTGGAGTGGGTTCAAGAAAGAATGGGAAAGGGGACCAGCCGTTAGCATAATGGCTATGTTGCTGGACTCCCATGTAGTCAACTACGGTTCGAGCTCTGGACCCGGTGGTTTAAATCCACACCGGGCGCATGTGCATGCGGTGCCCAAGATCCTGAGAGGAGAATGGAGGAAAAGGGATTGTGGTGTGGCCATCCCCCCTGGGGGGTGATTTCTCACTTTCTGTCTCTGTCTTTCTGGAGAGTGCACGCACCCTATAGCAAAAACCTCTACAAACAAACAAAAATACATAAAGTCATCACCTACAAGTAGGGACCCCTGTCTACAGGAACAAGGGCTGAATGCAGGCAGGATGTGAGAAGACACTGAGAATGCAGGAGCTCTGAGGAGGACCCAGTGATGCCCACTCTGTTGTCTTTTCTATAAGTAACATAAGGACCTCTGCTGATCTGCTCTGGACCAGGGACCCAACCGTTCTCAGTGGAGAGTTCAAGAGTAGGGGCAAATAACAGGTGACCTTGGTTCAGCTCCATGTCAGCTCTCAGGCTCACTGGATCTGGAGGACAAAGAGCTTTTGCCTGACCCCAGGGTCAGATGTCTCCCAGGCACCTACAAGACACTATTGTCCCTAAATTCCTCCTCTGCCCCCACACCCAGCCCCTCACAACCGTAGTCAGGGCTGGCCCGTGAGTAGACTAACCGCCATGGGAAGGGAGGAATTTGAAGGAACAAATGCAGACTTGAGGAACTCTGCAGTGAAGGGCACTAGAGATACGAGACACGGCTAGAGGGAATGCAAGGCAGAGCGGGTGGGATAAGGTGAAGGCACACCCTGTTGTCCGCTGATGGTCGTGATCTGCTAGGGAGAAAACATGCTGATGCAGAGGCAGAGAGGACAAATGCTGGGGCCGGTCAGTTGAGCAGATTAGAGGGGAGGAGAGCTCTGGACAGGTGGGCTGGGGCAGGAAGAGGGCAAGGATGGTACACTTTTCCTTGCAGGAGGCAGAGAACACTGGACTGATACAGGAATTTGGCAGATCAATTGGAGGAGCATGGGACATTTTGGCTGCATCTATTTCTTACTGCTATTTAGCATTTCTATCGTCTGTTTTAAAAGCTATGTTTAAAACTCAAGGACTTTACATGAACATAGAATATCTAATTCACTGAGTAAACAAATGCCTATTTACTTATTTATTTTACAAATAAAACTGGGAGAAAACAATCACCCCTGTAAATTCTAAAAAGGTTGTAGTTCCCTGTGAAATTGTCCCCTAACATTCTGACACCCTCTCAAATTTAGAAGATCTCCAAGATGAAGAACAAGCCCAAACTCACAAGGAATGCTTCATTGAACTCAAAAGAGCAAGGAAATTGCCTCTGAAGCTGATGAACACAGTCAAGCCATTGCAGAAACACTGGGCAACGCTCATTCAGATCGTCTGAGTTCTCCCCATGACCACACCGGTCAGCAAATTTATGGCCAAAGTCCAGCCACTCCATCTCCACGAGGACCTGGAAACCCTGTAGGGAAGCACCCAGGAGAGACCATTTGTGCTGGATTATCCCAACTATGACAGCCCTGAGCCTGGCATCATCAACAGCAATTCCTTTCAAGTTTCTCAGAAAGCCTGTCTGGCCCAGCTGACAGCTCTATATCTGATACGACACCCACTTAGGGAAACTTCCCAATTCCCTAAACTCCATTCCATTATCACTGAAAGGGTATTAAATATGCACTTATGTAAAGCTTTCTTGAGTCTGTTTCTATTTTTTTTTTTTTTTGAGAGAGATTTTCACTGTAGGGCGCGTGCGCTCGCCAGACAGACAGAGAGAGACAGAGACAGAAAGCGAGAAATCATCCCCCAGGGGGGATGGTCACGCCGCAATCCCTTCTCCTCCATTCTCCTCTTGGGATCTTGGGCACGCACGCACATGCGCCCAGCGTGAGTTTTAAGCCACCGGGTCCGGGACACGAACCGCGGTCGACTACGTGGGAGTCCAGCGACATAGCCATTACGCTAACTGCTGGTTCCCAAGTCTGTTTCTATTTTTAGCCTCTTTGATTCACTGTTATCTAAAGGTACTCTTCCCCCTTAAGTTTCTCATTTTAAATTTGCTGTCTTTGGTGTCATATTTACAAAGTCATGTTTGTAAAATCCTTTCCCACTTCAGATTTTTAAATGTTCTCATACATTTGACTCCTTTTATGGTTCTGTTTACAATCTTTAACTCAATAGCTGATTATTTCAGAGTAGGGCTTCTCCACAGAGGACACTGGTAATATCTGGACCCATTACCATGATAAGTATGCCTTGATCCTTTTACAGAAGTCCCATTTTCCTGAGATAATTAAAATTTTTCCAAGTACAGGGACCAGCAGTTAGCGTAATGGCTATGTCGCTGGACTCCCACGTAGTCGACCATGGTTCAAGTCCCAGACCTGGTGGCTTAAACTCATGCCGGGCATGTGTGCATGCGTGCCCAAGATCCTGAGAGGAGAATGGAGAAGGGATTGCAGCGTGGCCATTCCCCCTGGGGGGTGATTTCTCACTTTCTGTCTCTCTCTCTCTGTCTGTCTGGGGAGCGCACGCGCCCTATAGCAAAACCCTTTCAAAAAAAAAAAAATTTTTTTTCCAAGTACATAGGCTGCAAATGGAAATCTGCCTGAATTCTCAGTATCTTGTTACCCACAACCTGCCCCTTTTAAGAGGCATAATAGTAGTGGTGGGCACCAACACAGTTTAGCTCAAGGTGAAGGAGCAATGATTAAAGGCAGAGACATTTCATTTTCTGTAGACCTCATCGTCACCCCCCAGTACAGATGGTAAAACCCTCCAAGAGGTTCCCCTGCTCTTCCTACACTTCCAGCTCACATCCTCTAGGTGGACTCACCTCTATGGTTCGGTAGTAAGGGTCCAGTAGGAGCTTAGCCAGTGCCACAATCTGGGGGGTGCGGTCCCAGCCATCCGAGCAGTGTACTAGCACCGGCCGCTGATCCCGATCCACAGCGTGCACAACCAGCAGCGCCGATTTCAACAGCACAGACAGGTGGTGGAGCCATTTGGTGCTTTCAAGAGCTGACAACCAACTATAGGAACAGGAGGGGATGAAGAAATGCTGATTTTTATGATTTACTGCATCATGCCCAATGCCTGTCACATCAAAAAGCAATTCCCAAAGACTTTTCTCTCTAAATATAAGGGCAGAAACAAACAAAATATCTGTGCATTTATGAAGTATGCCCAAGGATGAGACGCAAGCCCGACTATACAACACAGGGGAGCCACAGAAAAAGGGACCACAGTTAAAAGGGCCACCTTCTGTTTCAAAATCTTTATGGATAATTTCCCAGAGAAAATTATTACTTAGTATTTTTCAGTCCACAATAGTATACACAGTATAAGAAAACTGGCTCCTTCTGAAGGAAATGCAGCCACTTTGTGATATAAAACAGAAGATATCCATATTTAATCATTACCAACTCTATTCAACAAGTTCTCAAAAGAAAAATGATAAACTCATAAATACAAGTATGTCTATAATGACATATAATCAGGATGCCACATGTGAAAATGGTATCGAAAGGGCCAGTCAGTGGCATGGTGGTCAAAGCAGCTGGATTCTGCATGGCTGACTCACAGATGAGTCCCAGACCCAGAGGCTCGAAAATGACTCCAGGCATGTAAGCAAGTATGACCAAAATCCCTAGAGGAAAATGGGGCAGGGTTTGCAGCATGGCCACCCCCTGAGAGGTACTTTCTCACTTTTTTCCTTCTCTCACTCTGGTGAGCACATGTGTCCCATCACAATCTATCAATCGAGGTACAGACAGCATCACCTATTTATCTACTCTAACACACCTACCACTGTTCAATTATTATTATTATTATTATTTTTAATTGCCAGAAGATGTGTACGCTCACCAGAGAGAGACAATACCTTCCAATACAGTGTGGTCATACTGCAATCCTTTTTCCTCCACTTCTCTGTTCGAAAATAAGAATTTTCAGCATGCACACATATGCACCCAACATATTTTTCAAGATTCAAACTGCAGTCAGCCACAGGACTGACTCTCAATGCATAGCACTATGGGGCTGGCCTGTAACTGTCTTGAATGTTTATTAACTAAAACTAGATGGATCTAACCTGATTCAGACTCACAAATTAGTACTCCAATGGCCTCATAGTATTTCTGGGCCTAACACAGAGTGGATCAGCAGAGTTCTAGAAGAACGTTTTTTTTTTGAGAGGTTTTTGCTATAGGGCACATGCACTCACCGGAAAGACAGAGAGAGACAGAAAGCGAGAAATCACCCCCCAGGGGGGATGGCCACACCGCAATCCTTTCTCCTCCATTCTCCTCTCGGGATCTTGGGCACACATGCACAAGCACCCGGCGTGAGTTTAAGCCACCGGGTCCAAGACTCGAATCGTGGTTAATTACATGGGAGTCCAGCAACATAGCCATTACGCTAACTGCTGGTCCCTACAACAACCTTTTTTCAAAAAGCCTTTGAAGAGTATCAGATAGCACGGACTGCCCCTTGGGAATAATCACAACTTGATCATGGTTTTTGTTTTTGTTTTGCTTTAACCTGTGTTGATATCTTGTTTCTTGTGCTTCCCTTTACCCACCAACCCCCTAAAAGAGTTCTGATTCTTCCCAAATGTGATCTAATTTGTAGTAACGACCACAAGTCCAGTCCTTCAAATACTGAATCACGGGAATAAATGGATCCTTCTTTCCAAGGGCTCTGAGGCTTTGCCAAGATTAGACTATTATATAGCCTACTTAGGGAATGAGTATGAGTTTTTAGAATAGTCTAAGAAGGGAGACTTTCCACACAAATGGACAACAGACTGCAGTGCAGAAGCACTGGTTTCTCAATCAGACTGGGACTCTTCAGAGAGCTGCCACTGTGTCTGAGTCACAACTATACCCCCAGCACAGTGCTAGCATACAGTAAGGAGTCCTGCTATTAAATAAACTGTGAGTCTGCCCTTAATAACAATCCAATCTCAAAGGTTTTCTTCTAGTAGGTACCTGAGAAACATTTTTTTCCTGAATGGATCAATTGTTTATTCTCATTCCTCACAATCTGAAAAAAACTGAAAGATAAGGCTTAAGACGGCAAATACTAAATTATCTCCTTGCCCTAAGAGAAATGGCAAACGAGAAACAGTGCAAGGTGACTGTACTATCCTTTCATTCCAAATGGTGCTGTCTGTGCCTCACAGAGAAATCGCATTCCCAGCCCTGCCAGCTGAGAGGTACTGAGGGACTGCACACTCTCTTGTCCTGCCCTCCAAGTGGAGCAGAAGCACACCATGACCCAGCCGTCCACGGCCCCCCACATCTGCCAGGAGGGCGGATCATAGCCAGTCTTTCTCTGTCATCCATGGCTACTTTTCACCCACAGGAAGCTTTATACCGCATTATGACTTGCTGCCAAATCCAGACAAAATATTATCTTCTTCTTCAATAAAATCCCACATTCATTTAGACCAGATGAAGACTAATTACATCTTTTCAACTCAGAGTTTTTAAAAAAGAATTTAAATAATTTTAAAATATAGAAAGTATCAGAGAGCATGTGGTGCTGATTCCATTCCTTTCATTTTATAGACTAAAAACACAGAAACCCATGGTAATTAAGTCTCTTAGCCAAAGTCACACAGTTAGTGGCAGATCTCCTGGGTCCTCAGCCAGACTCCTTCGATGTCCCACCTTAGGGGAGACAGTGCTAACTGGGCCCTAGAGCAGGGTGGATACAAATAACTAATTCCCAAAGAAAAGTAGCAGGCTCATTTCTTCCATCAGGCTTTTCCCAGAGGACACTGCTTCACCCTCTGGGCTGATTGCAACTGTGCTGAATTTAATCATCTGCTACCAGGAGTCAGTACAAGTGGTTCAGGCAGCATCTGATCTAATAAATAAAGAATGCAGCAAAACTTGATGTGATCATGAAATCAATGAAAAAGGACATGGGGAAACAACTATGGGCTCCAGAACATGAAAAAAAAAAAAAAAAAGCAAATAAATAAATAAAAAGAAAAGAAAATCCTGTTTTCTTTGGTGCTATCTCTAGCTTCCTAAGATAGTAAAACAAGAACTTTTAAATATTTATCTGCCCGTATTTGTTTTACAGAACATTCCTCCTAATTTATCTTGTATTCAAACAGTAGTCTTGGAGGGGTATTATTTCCTCTCCTCACTGCAAATGCCAGCCATTCATTTTTAATAAGCAATAAAAATCATGGTAATGTTCTCAGTAAATAAGTGAGAGGATAGTTTAGAAATTAGAAAGGGATATAAAAGGAACTGCTCTAATGACAAATTTAACCCTTTAAGAACAGGATGAAAAGATTTGGATTCTTCATGTAAAATGTCCAAGTTCACAGCAGTTAAGTGTGACTATAAGATGTCAGAAACCGAAGAATTAAATTACTTTGGGACAAAAACAATGAGAAAGAGAAGGGAGAGGTCGTAGGAAAAACGAAGCAGTGCTACTGCTTTCAGAGCCAGATCTGGTCTGTGCTGCACATTTTCAAACCTCTCAAAAGGCTGACTTTCTCTCCCAGCTCCCTCTCTGTGCTGCCCTGCTCTTGACTTAGGAAGAACACCCACAAGTGGAAAGTGTAACTGATACTGAGAAAGAACTAGAAAGATACAAATTCACCTTTTTTAAAAAGTTCAAAGTACAATTAAAAGCCAAGGCTAAGGTCTTACTTTCCCGGATCTGGCATCTGTGTGCACAGCAACCGCAGGGACTGAAAACTCCTCCGAATAGAATGAATGTTTGCCATCCCCATAAACACAACTTCACAGTTTGGGTAATACTCTGGAGAAAACAACAATAAAGAGAACACAAATATATTGAATTCAAAGCCCACGTGGCCAAATTTAGAAGAGGTAAACTGGCTATAAAACAAACCCACTGCAGCTGCTGACTAATGAAACTGCAATGTTTTGATGCTCGACTATTAGCCCAATGCTTTATTATGGGAGGAAAATAGTGCTTAAATTTTAGTTGTATTGGCAATAATGGAGAAAAGGAAGGTTGGATTTGTAAAGAAGACACATAACATAAGAGCTGCTTTTTTTTTTAAAGACAAAGTCCTTCAAGTTCTCATCTCTTCCAGGTTTACTTCTTGGGTCTCATCTAACTTGGGGCTCGAATTTCTGAAACGAACTCAGCAGAACAATGTCTTTAAGAATTTAAATTTCACCTTGGTACAGCTGCTTTCAATTTCTAGCTTAGTTCACATCTGAATAAGGAGTCTGGTGCCACTGCCTGTGCCATCAGCACACAGCTGACACCCAGGGGGTCCCACCCTGAGGAAGGTGGCATTCAAATAACAGAGGTGCACAGGCAGGACAGAGGACCTGACTTGCTTTCCGTATTTACTGCTCCCCTTACAACCTGAGGTTTTCTAAGTAAAGACCCTGGGAGGAGTTTGCTAAGAAGCAGAAAACAAGCAAACCACCCATTATCAAAGGCAAGAAAAGCTTCTAGAAGGCAGAGAAACTGAGACACTAAAGCAGCTACGTCTAAACATGAACAGGCCTTACTGTAAGAGAAGATCTGCTTTTCTTATCATCTAAAGGTTGGTGCAGTGAGGGAAGATTACCTAGCCTCACTGTACCTTCACCTCCCTTCCTCCTCAGCAAAGGACAATGTTACTAAACCAAAGAGAAGCCAGGGCTCTCTCAAAGACAGGCTGTGGAATGCGGCTTATCCCTTTCTCCGACTGAGAACCAAGCCTCAGCTGTGCACAGCTGGACTCACAAAGGTGCTGTATCGGGAGGGATGCCATGTACATCTCACCTGGGCATTCGCAGCCTCCTCCTTTGGCTCGGTTTGCCACAGCTGCTGCATAAGAACGCGCATCCAAGATCAAAAGCTTCTGTGGCTGAATGGCTAAACTCTCTGCTCCTGAAGCATTTGACAGAGAAGAATCTAGGGACAGTGGGGAGGGGGGGAATAAATGAATCTACTTCTCCCAGAACTATGTAAAATTAGAATCAGAGGCACATATAAGAGTACCAAAACCAAAACAAAACAACCCAACCAAACAAAAAAACTCTCAATTAAAAGGACCCCACCTCTACCAGAATCCCTGATATATAGGACTTCTCTCTCTTAAGTTTATTTTCTATTTTTCCTTCTTATAAAAGCTGATGAATACTTTACTCAAAACCAGCACCCAGACTGCACATGGGGATCCATAAAACCTAATCTCCTGTAACTTCGATTTTACATTTTCAGTCCTTTCATGAAGTCTGGTATTCCTCCCATGGCCTGAAGACACTCCTAGACCCTCTTACGAATATACTCCACTCTTGTCATGGACAGAGCACACAACTAACACTCCATAGTCTTTTCCGCCAAATATGAAACAGAGGGCTTCCTGGTTCTTTCCCACGTCCCCAGACTCTTCAAACAATCCTATCATATGAAGCTTCACTCTTCTCTCTTCTATACAACTAAGTCTATATGTTCTTAGGAAAAGGCTATTTCAAGGGAAAGGTCTCAGTGCTATAAAAATTGCAGCCAGGGAACCGGAGAGCACCTTACCAAACTCCACATCAGAAAGGTCTCCCCCGTTGGGAAAGTCTCGGGAACTGTTCCTAGCTGACAGCTTGCTGCTGCTTGATCGGGAGTCAGAGGCACAAGCTTTGGCTACTGACTGCACCAGGTGCTCATCGTCTGCGTTTCGCCAGCCCCACCAGCTGACTTCTGGCTGTCCACAGCGGGCAATGACAGCTCCGTTACTCTGGTGCCTGTGCAGGGAACAAGAGACAACAACTGTATCCACTCCAGGGGTCCTCTTCAGATACTCTGAACTTACTAAAGTAAGGTGGTGAATTTCATGTGCCTTAATGAACAACATAGCTCAAGTTCTCTCAGTGTTAAAGAGAGCAGAAATCAAACATGCCAGCAAGACGTAAGTAACAAAACCTATGTGTATCTTCCCCAGTTACCACACTTCACGAGACCTTTGTAATGTTACCAAAGAAATGATGTGCAAGAGAAAATAGTCATAATAATTCATAATAGTAATAACTCATTAATGTTCACAAGTGTTGAATCTTCAAATTTATTTTTAGAAAATAAGAGGGGCTGGCAGATAGCATGGTGGTTAAGACGGTGGACTCCCACGTGGCTGACCACAGTTTGAGTCCTGGATCTAGCGGCTTGCTTTTGCTCTCTCTGGTCAAACTGAAGAATAATGATAATAAATAAAATTACACAAACAGTAATTTTTATTTAAAAAAAAAAAAAACGGAAAATAAAATAAAAAACACCTATGGCCCAGCTTCAAGGGCATAGCCAGTAGTGTACTAAACTATGGTGTGGAAGCCACATAGCCAACCACAGGTATGGATTCAAAAGTCAACCTGAAACATGCCAGGTGTGTGCATGCCCCAAATCTTGACAAGCTAGAGGGCTGAAGAACAGGGACCTCCCTATTGGGAGGTCTCTTTCGTTTTCTCTTTGAAATAAATCAACTTAAAAAGAACTACAAATACTAAACTAATTCTGCTACCCAATAATGAAGAAGTAATCTCTCCTTCAGGTTTCTTTTTTAATTTACCAGAGAGCACATGGGCTCATCAGGCAGACAGAGAGAGAGAGAGAGAGAGAGAAAGGAGGAAAGTGAGAAAGCACCTGCCATGGGAATGGTCACCCCATAATTCCTTCTCCTCCATCTCTCCCTCCTTTCAGGAGTCTGTGCACACACACGTGCCCTGTGTGTTTCTCAAGCTGCTGAGTCTGAGATTCTATAGTTGGCCATGCAGATCCAGCTGCCTTAACCGCATCACTCGCTGGCCCATAATTCCTCTTTAGTACTGAAACTAAACACCCTAGCAAAATAGAACGATGTGTTGCCTCGCTGACATCCGAGGGTCCAATGCAGCCTCTGTGCTCTCACGGATGGCTTGGGGATTCTTACCTGGCACACAAGGACTGTTTAACAAAATCTCCTCAGACTTCATGACTCACAAACTACTCCCATTGTATGCAGATATCTCAATGAACCAGCTTCCTCGGGCTCTTAGAAGGAAGGCCACAACCTCTGTAAACCATACTCTGATCTTTTTTCAAGATGACCAGAATCATACTTATAGTCTACTTTAAGATGTTATTAAAACCCACACTTTTTTTAATTGGGCAATTTTAGCAATAAAAAGTTAAAAAATTTATATTTTCTGTGGTAAAAAGAAGTATCTGGTTCATGTTATAATACTGATGAATCTTGAATGTGTTAATGAAACGAAGGAAGCCAGTCATAAAAGGCCATATATCGTCTGATTCTATTTATATTAAGTATTCAGAAAAGGCAGTCCCACAGGGAAAAAATAAGATTACTGGTTACCCAGGGCTGGGGGCGGGGGAGACTGGGATTGAAATGAGGGGTGACTGCTAATGGGTATGGGGTTTGTTTGGGGGTGAGGTAAAATCTAATAAAACAGGTTGTGGTAAAGGTTACACCATACTGTGAATATATAGAAGTCATTGAATTGTGCACTTTAAAAGGGGGAACTGGGACCAGCAGGTGGCACAGTGGTTAAGATGCTGGACTCCCATATAGTTCAAGTCTCAGATGCAGCAGCTTGAAAATCACATGGGGCACATGTGCCCGAAAACCCGAGAGGAAAATGAAGAAGGGATTGTGACATAGCATTCCTCACCTTCCCTTTCTCTGCCTCTTTCCAGCGAGTGCACAGGTCCTATGGCAAAAAAACTAAAAGGTATTAAACTGTGTGTAAAAATAAATGATCAGAATAAAAGGCTGAAAAGTAAAAACTTCAAATGTCATCCAATTCTATATCCCAGAGGATAGGACATGTCCCATTTTCCTTTAGAACTATTTCTAAATATATGTAATGTATATCTACACACAAATGCATATGTGTGGCACAGAGGATTTAAATAAAATATACTACTAAATTTTTCTTTTTCTTTCTTTTTTTTTTGAGAGGTTTTTGCTATAGGGTGTGTGTGCTTGCCAGACAGACAGAGAGAGGCAGACAGAAAGAAATCACTCCCCAGGGGGGATGACCACGCTGCAATCCCTTCTCCTCCATTCTCCTCTCAGGATCTTGGGCATGCATGCACACGCGCCCGACGTGAGTTTAACCCACCGGGTCCGGGATATGAACCGTGGTCGACTACATGGGAGTCCAGCGACATAGCCATTACGCTAACTGCTGGTCCCTACTACTGAATTTTTCTTCTGTAGGAAAACGACACGAGAAAGAATTAGTTTTTTCAACCCTAAAACACACAGCAGTAAAATTAAGTTTAGCAATAGTTGAATTCCACTGGAAACACTGGTTTGCTTATAGTTTTTAAGTCATCCCTCACTGGGACAGACAAGCAGCTGAAAGAATCTGTGTACTACCAACATGCTTGATGGGCTCATGTGCTGAGTGGAGCCAAATTGCAAATAAAACCTCACTGATTATTAAAATGCCTCCTAGCAAATAGCAGGCACTGGGTAACCACTGAACTGAGACTCCAAACTTCCACAACAGAGGCTGGAGGGGCCTTTTCTGGAGCACTGTCTTCCTCTGCAAAGCTTCCTAGCAGTACCCAAGAGGAACAGTAGATGGCACTCTTCAGCCTGGGTCTGGGGCTTTAAGAACCACTGACATTGTAACAACTAGATTCCAACTAACTATTGCCAACAAGCAGTTAATGTTTTCAGCAATCCTATAAAATGTTTTAGATTATGTGGAAGATAACTCAAAACACTACAGTTAAAAGTACTTTTTTTAAAAAAAGGCATTTTTATCACTTTAACAAGCAGAACTAGGGAAGTATAAAAATTAAGCGGTCTGGGACCAGAAGTTGGACTTCCATGTAGTCGACCATGGTTCGAGTCCCGCACCTGGTGGCTTAAACCCACACCAGGCACTTGTGCATGCATGCCCAAGATTCTGAAAGGAGAATGGAGGAGAAGGGATTACAGCGTGGCCATGCCCCTAGGGGGGTGATTTCTCATCTTCTGTCTCTGCCTCTCTCTGTCCTTCTGGCAAGTGCATACACCTTATGGCAAAAACCTCTCCCCCCCAAAAATATTGTCCAATGGATGAACCCCCCCACTAAAACATGAAATGTTTTAATTTTATAGTGAGACAAGTAATTGTTTTAACTCTCTAACATACAGTTAGGCAAGCTCTCTAAAGGACTAGCTTCTAATAATCACCACATGCATGCGGGGGGAGCTATAAGCTGCATTACAGATGGGTACCCTTCACACCATCTTGCTATGTTAGAGCAATCTCTGCCTCGGATAATAAAGCCAATTAAGTGCTCTCTCATCACAGAAGGAGAAAGCCCTAATCAGGCGCTGGTTCAGTATGGTGCTGGCAAGTAACTGCTGCTAGCAACTTTCAGAATCATTAGTCTACAGACAACTAAATCCAGTAAATGCATGTAGGAATCAGAGGCATCCTGCCAGCCTTAGTGAAGCAAAGCAGAGTGAGGAGTATTCCAAACATTCTACAGCATACCCCTTTATAATATAACCTCCTAATTTGGAGTTTAGATACAAGACACATGTTCTGTGGTACAGACCAGCTCCAGAAAGTCTGATTTTACATGAACTACACCAAGAACTTTTATTTGTAATCTCTTGAGATCAGATTTTCTTTGCAAAATTGCAAGTAAAACTTTCACTTATGTACACAGTCACTCCTTGCTTAAGGATCTACATGTTTAGTAGCCAGTCAGACTTATGACCAGCTCTCCACGTGAAAAACTTCCCTTTCTCACTCCTTCTCCTGTTTTGACAGTCAGTTGGTTAATATTCACTGCATGAAACCCTTGCAATCATGCAAGACTACATATTTCATTATAATCTGTGCTTTCCTGTGCATCCATAGTAGTATTCAGAATAAAAAAAGAAAAGATTATGCCAGATTTATATTATTGTGTTGTAGTGTGTCCTGGTCACTTTCTGGAGCTTATCTCATGTTTGCATTTTGTATGGATAGAATTACATTATTTTAGTGTGGTGTCACATGATACCGACGGAAAATTACATACCTTATGATACCACAAGATATGCGCCTCTAAGCTCCTTGCTTATCGACCAATTTGCTGAACGACCTAGTCCTAAGAACAGACTTGTTCTTTAAGTAAGGAGTACCTGCTGTATCCTAATTGCTACAGAGGAGGAAAAAAATCTAGGGCGCATGCCCTCTAGAATTGATTTCAGAAGGAAGAAAAGAGGTTTCCCACTGTATTACATTCTAAAAAGTTTTTCTTCAACCAGCACTCTTAGGCTTCTCTGCCAAAAGAGAAAATTCACCTAAAGCCTCCTGCTTCAAAAATGAGTATTTCCCCGTAACATTTAAAGCCAGCAAGCCCCACGAATGCCAGGGCTGCAGATCTGACACAGCTGTTTGCTGGAGCAGGCCTGGCTGCTTTCCATTCCAGCTGGGCTGATCACTGGTAAGACATAAATCCCTTCAGCCTTCACAGCTCTCTCACTCCTGTGCCATCCTTATCACAAGTAGTAGGTAAAGCTGGTGACCTACTTTTCTAGGGATGTCTGAAAACAAGTGATGAAAAGTGAGATTGAAAACTTAGTAAGTTCCACCAGGTCACAGCAAATACTTTTCCTTCTCACTTACTCAGGGTGGGCATCAGGATTTGCCTTCAGTGGACTAAATGAACAAGCTGGTACCTCCATGGGAATTTCACAAGGAAAGAAATCCCTTCCCACAACCTCAGTATTTCCAAGAAATCCCTCCTGACACCAGAAGAGTTTCTAACGAAGCCATTGGTTTGACTCAACACACGGAGAGTCCAAAATGCTGGCAAACTGGGAAAATTTCAAATGAAGAATGTGAATATTATATGTAGGTGACATCTGAAACAATTTCAGAAGAAGGAGTGACTTCTTAAAAAGGCACCATGACTGGGAACCAGCAGTTAGCGTAATGGCTATGTCGCTGGACTCCCACGTAGTCGACCGCGGTTCGTGTCCCGGACCCGGTGGCTTAAAACTCACGCCGGGCGCGTGTGCGTGCGTGCCCAAGATCCCGAGAGGAGAATGGAGGAGAAGGGATTGCGGTGTGACCATCCCCCCTGGGGGGTGATTTCTCGCTTTCTGTCTCTATGTCTCTCTCTGTCTGGCGAGCGCACGCGCCCTACAGTGAAAATCTCTCAAAAAAAAAAAAAAAAAAAAAAGGCACCATGACTGGGGCTAGCAGGTGGCAAGGTGTGCTGGACTCTCACATGGCCAACCCACGGTTTGAGTCCTGAACCCAGAGGCTTAACAAAAAAAAAAAAAACCAAACACATCAGGCATATGTGCACATGTACTAAAAATCCCAAAAGGAGAATGGAGGAAAAAGGATGTGGCATGTCCATCTCACTTTTTGTCTGTCTCTCTGGCACATGCTCTATGGAAAAAAACTAAAAAAAAAAAAAAAAAAAAAAAAAAAAAAAAAAAACAACACGATTTGGGAGAAACTTTTCTGTCCCTCTGGCACAATCCCTATGGAAAAAAACAAAAAAAAAAAAAAAAAAAAACTAAAAAAAAAAAAAGCAACACGATTATGTGAGAACTGAGACACTTACTGAATTGTGAAAGTGGCACTCAGCACTCAGCCTATTCCAAGCGCTCTTAGAGAGGCCCAGTGTACGTAACACCTGGGAAGTAAGAGCTCTCCTTCCCATATCACTTACAGGAACAGACCGAGTCAGTTAGGGAACATTCTCGAGGTGTATAGTCAGGAGTGTCAGAACAGACATGAACTCAGGTCTGTGACTCCAAACCTTGCACCCATCACCACACTTCCATTCCCATCCAGAAGTTCGCTTAGCTCTCCAGCCTCGCAGCTCTGAAATCTTCTCTCCAGCCAAGCACCAGCCTTCTTCTCTAAATGCCTCTTCTCAAAATGCCTCTTCCCAAAACACAATCCCTTCATGTGTCAGAGCTTCAACCACAAAGATGATATACCAAGTCTCCTTTTCTAGGGTTCCTCTCTCAATCTAAGGCTAAGTGCAGGAAATACATTAGCTTATAAAAGAATGTAAAGTGGGTTTTAAATAGCAAGTCTAGCCCAATTTCTATGAGACTGAACCACCAGCTGGTGTACGGACACAGCGAGTACCTGTGTGTTACTGGAGGAGTAGCTTTAGCAATAGGAAGGACGACCTGTCTGGAAAGGTTTCTGACCCCTTCCCCGACCCACCCTTCTAAGCTCAGCAGCGGCAGAGACAGCAGACCACATGCAGTGGGCAGTAGAAGCAGTCCAAGGCCAGGGTGATCCCGCTTACTTACCTGTAGATGACGGCAGGGATGCGCTTCCAGGACCTGAAGCTTGCTACACTTTCTAGCTCTTTGTCAGTGATCCAGGCAGGCACTATGAGCTCTTGCGGGTAGCTACCACATAATCTGACAAGGAAGATGACAAAGGGGGAGGTGGAAGAACGGAGAGATCAAGTGAGCCAGTGTAAGGACAGGTAACACCACCACAGAGCCAGAAAAAGGCAAGGAGGAGCATTATTTGAGTTCTGCTTCCCTCAACAGAACAGTATCAGACAGCTGATACTATCTTGATTGCTCCACTTGATCGTGCCTTCTGGGCATCTGGCCACTGCGACTGTCAGTGAATAAAAGGGAGTTAAGGGCTTGTCTCTTTATTCTCCATTATAACTCCCTGTTGTAACAAATACGTCATTTCTAATTACATGAGTGCCTAGTCCAATTATAGACACCTCTACTAGAGCCTCAGTTTTCTAGGCCTTTGTTAAGGGAAACATAAAGGAGGAGGATGGCCCACAATCTCAAGTGTCCAAAGACCTATAGGATCAACTACCTTATTCTTTGATTTGAACCAAACGGGGTGTCCTAATTATGAGTAATGGGGTGCAGCCATGGTATGCAGACACAATACCACACACAGCCTAATTGTATACACAGCCACAGTCCCACTGGCTCAAATCAGTAATTATTCATCATAATTTTTATAAAACATAATTCAGAACAACCTAGACTCGGGGGAAAAAGCTCTCTATTCATTAGTAAAGATACTAGCTGCACACTAGTTAAGCTCGTGCCCTGGGAAGCAGAACTTCTGACAGGTTTTCACTTACAGGACAGTATCTCTCTATAGGCAACCAAATCTTCCTCTTCAATAGTGAATGCAATAGGGCTTTAGTACAAATCCTAAGGTGCACGAGCACTACCACCACCACTGGCCTCAGCCTACCCTAGGCATTAGGGGAGGAGGCAAAGAAATATAAACTGGCTTACAAGTTGAGGATTTTGATAATTTTGCACTAAATATCTCTTTTCTGGTCTCAATTTCCAAAAGATTAAGTATCAGGAACTTAAGAGCCTCTGAACCAGATAAATGGTTATGATCAAGGGTAGCCATATAAACTTCCTAACACCTACCCACAAATTCCTAAAAATAACCTAGGACACAGTGATCACAGTTAACACTCAAAAACCGCAAGGCTCATTCTCTCTATTCTGTTTTAAACTCAAGAGCAGATTTGGCTTTCATTCTTCCTTTGTAGTAGGAAGAACTTGTTTATTTTGTTTTCAATTTGTGCCATAGATGCATGCATCTACTGGAAAGAAAGAAAGGGAAAGTAAGAAAGCACCCCAAGGCAGGGATGTCCATGCCACAGTCTCATCTCCATTTTCCCCTCAAAAGTTTTGGGCCAGTGGTGCCATTCTTAAGATGGGTGGATCCCACATAGTCAGCAGTTCAAGTCTCAGACCTGGCATCCTAAAAGAAGCTCTTGAGGGTGTGTGTATGTGCCCAAAATCCCACAGAGAGGGAGAAATGAAGAAATTGTGGCATGACCATCCCCATAGGCAGTGCTTTCTCATACCCTCTATCCTACCCTCACTCTCCCTCTGGTGAATGCACACACCCTCTTGCAAAAATTAGAGAATGAAAAACAGAGCCGTGTACAGTAATTAGCTGTTGTTTTCCAATGAAAAATAAAACACCCTGATGGCCAGCCATAGAAAGACCAGAAAAATGGCTATCATAATCTGGGGTAGCTCAAAAGACCACAGAATGGGGAACCAGCAGTTAGCGTAATGGCTATGTCGCTGGACTCCCACGTAGTCGACCACGGTTCGCGTCCCGGACCCGGTGGCTTAAAACTCATGCCGGGCGCGTGTGTGTACGTGCCCAAGATCCCGAGAGGAGAATGGAGGAGAAGGGATTGCAGCGTGACCATCCCCCCTGGGAGGTGATTTCTCGCTTTCTGTCTCTATGTCTCTCTCTGTCTGTCTGGCGAGCACACATGCCCTGTAGCGAAAAACCTCTCCACAAAAAAAAAAAAAAAAAAAAAAGACCACAGAACGGTTAGTGTGACAGGGAAACTTAAGGAGAAAAGGATATACTAGTTTAAATCTCCTGGATAATATTTTTTTTCATTTTATAGAAACTTCAGTCACCAAAATCACAGTAGTTAACTGCTCTTCCCCAAAGCATTCACATGTTTTAAGGAAACCAGTAATGGTTAAATATTTAATAATGGTTATATTAATATTTAATGGGTAAATGATCATGGCTGGGAACCTAGTTTCAGATCAACATACTAAAGAACAGAATATATTTAAGTCCAATTCACAGGATCTGGAATAAAATTATAGTTATAAAAACTAGCTCCTAAGTGCCTTGTCCCTGCATGTAAAATCACCAATCCTATCTCTAAGGTGATGCAGCAGTAATGAGAACAACGGCAGCTGCTTGCCTACAGGTACACACATACTATCTAGACCTGCATGTGCCAGGAAGAGCAGAGGCCTGGAGGGGGAAGGAAGGAAGCTTCCAGCATCCTGTTAAGTAAGGATCACTTTCTACTCCAGTGATAACAATGAAAAAGAAGTTTCAAGAAGTACTCTGAAGATCATGCATTTAGACTTAATAAATAAAATTGGCATTTCAAAGAAAAAGTCTAAGTTCAAATATTTTGTCACATGAGAACTGGGGTTTCTGCAAAGATACTGGCTGTGAAATACAGTCCACGGGGACCTATAGAACTCACTTGTACTTCTCATTGATGTTGGAAATCCTCCAGGCATTGTTCATATCAAAACCCATCCGCTCCACTTCGTTTTTAAACCTTGACGTTACATGTTCCCCTAGGGGCCAGAGACAGACAACAGAAAGAAAGAAATGAATACCATTCTGTAAAACAGGTGAGATAAAAGCAGTTACCCTACTTGTTTATTTTTTAAAGGCAGAAAATGTATAAATAATAAATACCATTTATTTAGTTTCAGTTTCTTTAAAAATATTCCTGTGAGATTAAGAATAGAAAGAAGAAATAAATTAATTTTGATCAAGAATTATGTTATCTAATCTCTACTATCAACTCTGAGGACAGCATCACTAAGCTTATTTTACAGAGGACAAAACTGAGACTGAGAGGTTGTTGTGGTAAGTCTGCCTGGCCCTAAAACCCATGCTTTTGTTACTGCACTGGCTATTTTCCTACTTCCACAGTCACACTGACAATAAAATCAATTAAACACACACAAAAAAAAATACACACACACACACAAACCATCACCAGGCTGGCCAGCTGGTGGTGTGGTGGTTAAAGCAGCTGAATCTCACATGGCCAACTGTGCAGTTGTTTGAGTGCCAGCCCCAGCGGTGGCTTGAAAAACACGGTAGGCATGTGTATGTGCATGCCCAAATCCCTAGAGGAGAATGGAGAAGGTAGTGCAGCTTGGCCATCCCCTGGTGGTGGTGAGTGGGGGTGATTTCTCACTTCCCTTCTCTTCTCCCTGCCCCCCTGCCTGCTCCCTCCCTCTCTCCAGTGAGCACGTGCAGTGCTATAGTAAAACTAAAAAAAAAAAAAAAAAAAAAAGATCACCAGGAGTAGAATATAAATCTATAATTCCTCATTCAAAACCATTGGGGCCAGATTTCAGAATTTGAGGTTTTTCTGGATTTTAGAAAGGTAAAATGATACTCATATTGTAATATTACGGTCACATTAAACACTCACATTTAATTGAGCATTAATATTTCTTCAGTAATATGTATGGATAATCCATACCAAGTGGGATGAATACAAGGTGCTGAGTGTTTGCAAGAACATTCACCCTAATGAGTATATCTGGCTCCATCTGCACTAATGAATTTGGCATTCTCTTCCCTAAGACAGCAACAAAGATAGAACTGAATAGAAGATAAATGTCAGTAGATGTGAAATAACATTTTTCCTTAAACACACATGCAGTCCCAGGGCAGTAATTTTATTTAAAACAAACAAACAAACAAACAAACAAACAAAAACAACATTGAACAGCACATCTAAGATCTATGGTGTTACAGGTTGTAAAATAAACCAGGGCTGGGAGAAACCACAACAACAAATAAAAGCACAAACAGACTGCTTTGTTGATCCAAGTATAAAGCTTTGCTTTCCCTGGGAGAGGAGCTACAGAATAGGAAACAGCAATTACTTGAATGAAGGGCAATTCTGTATAACTGCTTCCCATTTAAACTGCTTTTCTCAAGCTTAAGCTAAGTATTATATGCTTCCGGAAGGAGAGCTATAAAAAGATGAGGTTTAGAGATGCAGTAAGAAATAATAGTTGAATCTATCCCATTTTGGAAAAGTTTTAGAAGCAATGTAACAGGGTTCCAAAGAGAAAAAGCTACCTGGGGTGCCACCTGTCTAGAAATAGTGAGAAATATTGACCATCAGGAACACTATATGGCTCAGTTGCAGTGGCATGAGTAGGAGGTGGCACAAGTGGGAGGGCACCATTGTGCAGTGGCCGAGGCTGCATGAGAGGACAGGGTTCAATTCCTGGCCCAACCTAAATAGGTCAGGCACTGTGGCACATGCCTATAGTCCTAGCTGAAAGGCTAGAGTAGAAAAGATTGCAATGTAGCAAGACCTGTCAAAAATACCCATTTCTCTTTCCTTCCCTCCCATATTCATTCATTGAAACACTCTTTCTCTCTCTCTCTCTCTCTCTCTCTCTCACACACACACACACACACATTGAAAAGGAAAAAAAATGAGATACAAGGTTTAAAAGCCGCAAGATTGTAGCAACTTTCAATTCATTAAAGACAATTTTTTCCTTTCCCAACCCTGGGAAACAGCTCCAAGTCTTTGCAAAAGGTGTTAAGTATTTTTATTAAATGCTCCTTTACACTAATATCTCTATCTTAGAGTAAACACATAGATACCCTAAAAGAATGTTTTGATTTATTGATCTATTAGTAAATCACAGTCTGCACTTTGAAAACCACTACTTAAAAAAAAAACAATCTAACAGAGGGCCAGCAGTGGCACAGGGCATATTAAAGCTGCTGGATCCCACATGACTGACTGAGCAGTTCAAGTCCCGGTCCCAGCAGCTCAAAAAACATTTTGAGCCATGTGTATGCCTAAAATCCTAAGAGGAGAATGGAGAGAAGAGACTATGTGTGGCCATCCTCCCCTTGGGGTGTGTGGGGGGGTGATTTCTCACCTTCTCCCTCTGTCTCCAGCAAGTGTACATGCCCTGTAACAATCTTTAAAAACAAACAAACAAACTAGCAGCTCTTACATGGGTAATTCAATCAATTTTTGCAAATTGTTTAAGATGCTTGCTTACACTTATGTAGGCAGAAAGTGAATACGAACACATCCACTGCTGGATTCCATTTAAGAATTTCCATCTCAGGCCAGCAGGTGGCATGGAGGTTAAGGCTCTGGATTCCACATGACTGCGTGGTTCAAATTCCGGACCCAGGCAGCTTAAGAGTCACTCTGGGCATGTGTGTGTGTGCTCAACTCCTGAGTGAAGAATGAAGGCAAAGGGAATGTGGCACGGCCATTGCCCCAGGAGGTGATTTCTCATGTTTTTCTCCCCCCTAGCTTTTCCCCTTCCATGAGTGCATGTATCCTATAGCAAAAACAAACAAAGCAAGACAACGAAATGTCCATCTCAGGCCCAGGTATAGCTGGCAGCGAGCTAAACTGCAGTGCTGGGGGGCCACATGGCTTACCAGCTGGGATCCCCAGCTGGATCAACCTGAAACACGCTGGACATGCACACATATGTCCAAGATCCTGATAAGCTGGAGGGCTAGGGAAGAGGATTATGACATGACAAGACCCTTTTGAGGGTGCTTCTGCTCCTTTCTCACTCCTGTACATACATGTTCTCTATTATGAATAAGATTAGTGAACAAATGAATGAATTTACATCTCAGGATTCTCACGTCTTAATTGATTCAACATCAGATACGCTATAGTATCCCAACTCATCAATATTTTAAATATTGAAGTCACAGGTTTTTGTTTGGCTTTACATTTTCACCGTAACTTTTCCTATCTGCCTTCCCCATAACCAATTGGGGATTTGTCCCTTTTCAACTTCTAATGTTTTTTTGTTTTTGTTATTGTTTTTTGAGTTTTTTGCTATAGGGCACGTGTGCTCGCCAGAAAGACAGAGAGACAGAAAGTGAGAAATCACCCTCCTAGGGGGATGGCCATGCCCCAGTCCCTTCTCCTCCATTCTCCTCTCGGGATCTTGGGCATGCATGCACACGCACCTGGCATGAGTTTAAGCTGCCAGGTCCAGGACTCGAACTGCACTCGACTACGGGGGAGTTCAGCAACCCAGCCATTATGCTAACTGCTGGTCCTAACTTTTTTTTTTTTTTTTTGGTACTACAAATAAACATACTCCAGCAATTCTCTCCCCTACAGAAGTAAAAACTAAAACAAACAAAAAAACTGAGCTCCTTCTATTATAAAAACTGTCAATTGGCAATCTAAAAAATGTTCCCTTGAAAAAGCCAATCTCGGGAACCAGCAGTTAGCGTAATGGCTATGTCGCTGGACTCCTACGTAGTCGACCGTGGTTCGCGTCCCGGACCCAGTGGCTTAAAACTCATGCCGGGCGCGTGTGCGTGCGTGTCCAAGATCCAGAGAAGAGAATGGAGGAGAAGGGATTGTGGCGTGACCATCCCCCCTGGGGGGTGATTTCTCGCTTCCTGTCTCTCTCTCTCTCTCTGGCGAGTGCACGCGCCCTATAGTGGAAAAAAAAAAAAAACTCTCAAAAAAAAAAAAAAAAGCCAATCTCCCTGGATAGTTCTGAATATTCAGGCCCACAATTAACACTACATAAGGCCTGGCATAGAAGGGACAGGTCCTAACCCAGCATGTGAAAAAACAGACCAGTATGAGAGTCAGAGAAAGTGAGAACTACCCCTTCCTGATTCCCAAATATGGAGAGAGGAAGCATTCTTTTCTATGTACAAAGGTAAGCCCTGTAGACACACACTTCCTGAGCTGCATTCAAACCTAGAGGGCAGATAAATAGGCAGCTGTACGGCAGCGTAAGACCCAGAGTCATGCGTTGTCAGTGGATAAACAAGACAAGCTTAATGAACATCTATCCCAAGAGAGGTCAGAAAGGCAGGCCTGATGATACTGAACTGGCAGCAAGATTGCCCAGTCATCTGTCAGGACTCCAGATGAATGCATGAGTACAGCCATCACCCATGACTAAGAAGTCAGCTGCAACGTGGAGCAGAAAGTTGAGGACAAGGGAAAGACACTTTGAACTGTAAGTCCACTCCTTTTTAGAGTCCAAGATGGGCTAATAAGGGCAGAGTCAAGTGTTTGGTGAAGGGTTTTACAGGTTTCACAGGTAAACTCCAACAGCAATGCTGAAACATCTTCCAAAGCTGATTAAGACCTAAGAGCTGTGGTCACAGTGCTGGCTTACCTATGACAGGCTCAAAAGCTAGAAACTAAGATTTATATAAATGCCAAGGCAATGATGTAAGTTTCCCATTCCCTTCCTCTCTGATGTATCTACTCTTAACAGGCTAGGTAGAAAAGAGTCCATAAAAGGTTTTATTAACTGCTGAAAGACTAACTTCCACCTCTCAGAGCCTACACTTGTGATCTCATGTACTGGGGCAAACTGTACAAGGCATGGCTTTGAAATATCTCAAGTATTGTCTCAGCCAAAAGATGACTTACACTATGTGGCTGTCTGGTATGCTCATGCTTGGTGAGTAATGCTCTAGCCACTACCAACACTCAATAATACTGGGTGGAGACAAAAGAACCAGGTTGATGGGCTTTAAAAACTCCACCAGGGATTTTTTTTTT